CGTGAAAGGGATGCATACGGAAGAGGCAGTGTCTGTGTTTGGGGTGGCATCTCTTTGGGTGGACGCACAGACCTCCATGTCGTTCCAAGGGGAACCGTGAATGCTCAGATTTATAGAGATGACATCCTTGATGTTTATGTGCGCCCATATGCCGGGGCAATAGGTGATGCTTTCCTGTTACAGGACGACAACGCAAGACCACACTGGGCTCGCATCGTAGATGATTATCTTCCACAGGAAACAATTATCCGCATGGAGTGTCCAGTTCGATCCCCGGACATGAATCCTATCGAGCACGTTTGGGATGCTTTAGGGAGACGTCTAGCTGCTCTCAATCTGCCCCCTCAAACCCTTGTCGCGCTTGCAACTGCTTTGCAAGAGCAATGGCTCTCGCTTCCTGTGGAACTGATAGACCGCATAATTGAAAGCATCACACATCGCTGTATGTGCTGTATTGCTTCTAGAGACGATCATATTCCATATTGAAAGCACTTTTCCTATAGCAAACTGATACCACCGATTTGTTCATTTTATACATGTGCTAATTTCTATACTACCATATTTGTCTGGTAATTTCTTATGTTATTTGATACCTTACTATGTGTTTTATGTTGTGGGTAAATTTCATTAAATTCTACATTTAACTTTTTCAGTAATAATGATTTTTGTGATTTTTCCTTAATTTATGATAACCAGTGTAATTGTTTGTTGCGAAGTCTAACACAGGCTGCATGGTTGGTTTTCGTAATTTTTTAGGTTCTCTTTACAAAGATCCTCTATGAAAGCATTTTAACCAAATAGCTCCCATGTTCTTTCTATGTTCAAATAACCAACTAACCTAGTTTAAGCGAGCTTTCCAAGTGAAGTTACTAGGAAAAAAACAAATACTCATTAAAAATCATGTAGCTTGCCAATCGGGAGTAACATGAAAGATACGGCGTCAATAATTGAATTGCTGTTACGGTACACTCTTTCTAAACTTAGATGGTCATTTCTTAATTAAATATAATTGATTTGTACTTCTAGAGCTGACGGTAAAAATTGAAATGCGAATAAATAATATCTTGTGCAATCTTGATTAATATAAAATTAGAAATATTTGCATTCAGACAGAAAGTTTTTTTTTAGATTATTTGCAATTACTTTATAAGAAAGATTTATTAATAACCGTAATAATTACTTATTATATTGCTGAAGATTAGAATTCAGTTCTTGACAATTACATTCTAATTTAGAATTTTAAGGATATAGTGAAAATATGCTCCGCAGAAAAATACATTTTAGGATTAAAAAAATTAGTCGAATTTACTTCCTTGTACGAAATAAAAAGGAAGTATTGTAATCAACGAATAGATTCAGGCAGTATATTTCAACGAAAATATCCATTTTGACCGCTATCAAATGCAATTTAACGAGGTTTTTGCGTGATATCTGTACTTAAGGACAGAATAAAAGACTCTTTTCCTCCAAAAAAATTATAAAACTGCTTTAAAATGAATTCTTAAGAGAATTTTTCGTGGCGTCTGTACGAACGTATGTACGTACGTACGTACCTCGCATAACTCAAAAACGATTAGCCTCAGAACGTTGAAATTTTGTATAGGACTGCTATAACATGTAGATGTGCACCTCGTATTTTGGTTGCAATCGGCCGCACCAAACGTATATATAAATATATTTATATATATATATATATATATATATATATAACTACTCTGTTACCCGGCTCAGTGATCTCAGTTTCTTTACTCTTATATGTTTGTAAATTGTACATTTTTTGCTTTAAAAATGATTGAATTATGTTGCTCTTATCTTTCGGTTAAGGGTTTTATGCCTTAATAATTTGTATGCAATATTTTTAGAATTATCAACAATTTTAAAGCTGTGTAAGTGCCGCTAATCCTAATAATTTTGTTTGATGGCGGCCATTGCTTGTTTACATTTGAAACAACATGATATTGGATTTGTTGCCAATCTAGAGAAACTTAGCTTCGCAACAACAAAGATAATGCCAAGATTGCGAATTAAATCATGCTTAATCCTTTCTGGAATTTTTTTGAAGAAATAAGTGTTTAAGTTTTACTTCGTAATTTTTAATACATATATTTTGATTTTTTATGTATTTTTGCCTTGTCGCGAAGTGAGAACTAAATTAATTGAATGAGAAATACTCAATCGTCTGTGAAAAACTGTTTCTTTTTTGTTTCGTTTGCTTAATTTCTTTCATACAGCGTTCTAGCTTTATTATAGTATTTGAATAGAACACAGAAAGACCAATCAGGAGATTAAGTAAGGTGATTTACGGTAGCACATGCGCAGATGGGCAGGTAGACGTAATGGGGGAGTGTCTGAGTAGTATAAAGCATGTTGTCGGTGTAAGATCAGTATTTCTGGCAAAGAGATTGCACGCCGTATAGCAGTTAAAATCACACCGATTTGCTGCCTCAGCGAGAAATGGCGAATAATCAATCTGTTAGACGACATCTGGATGCTTTTACCCGAGGTCGAATCATTGGGAAGTTGGAGGAAGGAAGGCCGCAGTGTGACAAGTGTGGCTGCAGAGTTCGGAATTGCTCACAGCATCGTTTCACGACTTTGGAGACAATTTCAAACAACAGGAAGAGCTATCCGGGGGTTTAGTAGTGGTCGTCCACGAGAAACCACACCCGCAGATGACCGGTATATTGCCTTACAGGCCAGAAGAAACAGGCGGCAGACAGCGGGAGAAATCGCTAGACACACGACACAGGCGACTGGACGACCGATATCGCGTTTTACCGTGGCCAGAAGACTGCACGGTGGTGGTCTGTTTGCACGACGCCCTGTTCGGTGTGTACCTCTAACCTTGCCCATCGGAGAAGGCGTTCTCTGTGGTGCCGGGAACACCGGAATCGGAGAGACAATGAATGGGGACGAGTACTCTTTACAGATGAGAGCAGATTCAGTCTGAGTAGCGATTCTCATCGCATACTCATCTATTAGTAATAGGAAACATCAAACTATAAACTCATCTATTAGTAATAGGTACATCTAGAAAATATTAATAAATATTTTGCTAAATTCAATTAACATTGAGGAGCTAAAATTTTGAGAGCTAATATTTTAAAAACTACTCGTACGATTTTTACAAAACTTGGCATTCTGGCATAATTTGAGTCGTAGAATTGAAATATGGAAAAAAAATGGTATGTTATTTCAGAAAAAGTCCGATTTTGTGTCAAAATACCTACGTTAGAATAGTGCTATATACAAATCTAATATATATTCTAAGCCGCGCTTTTGAGACATGAAAAACGCAATTTGAATTTTGTCAATCGGCCCAGTAGAACGGGAGATATAGAACACTGTCGTCCATTAAATCTGGCTGTCACCGCAAGTGACTGTTCTTTCGCACCGATAATGGGGCAGCCTTTCATGGTGTTTAGTTAGCTTTTCGGCCAAAAGGCCCCATTATCGGATCTATCTTATAACGCTTGGGTCTGTCCTTGAGATGCATACAAAATATGCGTATCTAAAGAAGGAAATTTGTCAATCAGTTAATGGTAAGAGGTCTAGCAGAGAAGGAGGACATGCAATATGTTCAGACAACTCAATTCTGTGAATTACATTATTTGCCCGCACGGAAATGCAAAATTATTCTTAACAGCAAATCCCAAAACATCCCAAATTTTCTCAGTGACGTTAAGGTCAGGCGGATTAACTTTCCAGATGAGGCATAAGACATACAGCCTCCTCTTCGAACTAATTTTGAATTTATCTGAGACTATTCGTCTTAGCAAGACAGGTTTGGTGATTATGCTATACCATTTTTAAAACTTTCCAGTTGATATGAAAACTAGATCTACACAAGTAAATCCGAATTATGAAACTAAGGAATTTTTTATGTAATATTATGTAATGAATGTGCCTCACTGGCAGTAATAATTTTATTTCATATAAGTTACTCATTACTTGTTTACTGACAATGACTCATTACCCGTTTACTGATACCAAAAATAATGCTTTTTTATTGTTTCAATGTAACTTTTTTTTATTAAAAAAGATCATTCTTTTCTTATTCATGTAATTTTCTATTCTGCTTATTATTTTACTTCAGGTTTGAGAATAATTCCACTTTATTAATGTTAAAAAATAGGTTTAAATGTTTGCTGTGTATTACTATTTGAGAGTATTTTTAAAGTCTGTTTTTCACACAAAAATATTTTGATTAAAAATAACAAACATTTCATCTTCTGCTTTTATTACCGTTAATCTTATTAAAAAATAATATACTGAAAACAATAAAAAAGCATACTTTTTTTGGGTCAATGTTTATTCATTACAATCTTATTTTTTTCAAGAAATGAATGAAAATTTTCCGAGAAAAAGTGAATCAGATTCACGTGGAAACAATATCAGCCATTCGAAATAGTAAAAGCCATAATTAAATCTATATAAATATTTAAGTTTGTTATGTACTCTTAATTAAAAATCAATAGACAACATAATATTTTGAATTAATTGCAGCTCCAGAACTTTGAGAACCTCAGTTTCTAATGCACTTGGGCCACTTTTGTTCTTAGTCATATATGAAATCTCACATACGTTTCTCAGCCATATGTACTTGTTCTCAGTCTTGGGCATCGCTTGCAAGAAGGATTTTGGCTTTTACTCTGATTAATAAAGAAAGAAAAAAAATCTTGCTTATCTTGCCATGTACGGCTATATCTTGCAATGCATGAGTACTGAAGAAATTTCACTTATCGACATGAGTGAACTTATATAATGACATGAGGGCAACAAGAAACTTTCCCTAAACCTAATAATGAAAATAACTTTTTTTTTCTGAATTACACCAAAGTGCAATAGTTTCCATTAGTGAAAGGAATAATTGCCGAAATTTCAGAATAGCCTTAGAACTCCTTTAGATTTTCTTATATAACAAAAAAGGTTATTGGATGGAACATATAACAGAAAAATTCAGTAACTGCAATACAAGAATTATAAAATAAGTGACTTACATGCAATCAAGGTCCCAATATCTATGTGTGAGTCACCAATACGTTCTGTCACATCCTTCAAACGTTTATCCTAGAAATAAATAGAAAAATGACAATAAAGATTGTAAGCATTTGGCATTTAGGAAATGCAGTTAATATTGTACTAAAACTAGAACTTAAAGTTATATTCAATTAGATAAATATTTTATAAATTCAAAATTTAACTTAGGTGCTTATTTAAAAGATACGTATAGCAGTACCTCCTGTAAGAGACATCTCTATTTAAGGGACAATTCTGTTGATCCTTTAAAAAAAGGCCTTAATGTATTTATCTCTTATTAAGAGTCACTATTTAAGGGACACTAAAAAAAGTTTCGAAAATAAGGTGGAGGTAGAGAAATATATAAAAACAGAAATATTCTTCGTAATCCTTTGAGGTCTGAAAGGCAAGTTTGTGCTCAGTGAAAGATGGTATGGTGACAAGGAAACATTAAAATGAAAAGTTAAACCCTCTGGCTTGAAAACAGCTTTTCAGTACAGAAAAGAGGAATATACATTGTGAAAAAGCAAGTTTGGGTGCAATCGAACAGATATTTTATGCTCATAGAATTCAAAATCAAGTTATTCTTGCTACAGTTCTCAGTAGGGGAGGGGAAGAAATCAGTGTTAACAAGGCAATCTAAGTCAGATATCAATGGGAAAGAAAAAGTGGTAAGATGGCTAAGCCACCTGTCAAGGCACAGGGTTAGATTTTGGTTTTATTAGATTATGGCAAAGCACTCGAGGGCTATCTTAGTTAATAAGGGAGAGGTGCCTTCGTGGAGGACTTTCTAAGGGAAGCTGGCTCGTATACACGTTATACATGGAGAAAACAACGAAAACGCCCATGCAGCCAGCCCGTTTGCGGGATTCGAACCTCGGACCGAACTACCAGTGTTCAGCGACTTTACCGCTCGGCCACTGGTGGGCCAAGGCACAGGGATCTCATGATGTGAGTATAGTGGAAATTTCTATCATTTTTAGTTTTTGCTGGGGCTGGGAAGCAAAAGAAATGTTGTTTTGTATTTGGGTGCTATTTTTACATACGTTACCTAGCACGACTTCAAAAAAGGAAAAGATTAACATTAAAAGGAAATGGTTGATGTATTTCATGTACCAGAAATTGAAAATTTAGTTTGAGAGATTTAGGGCAGAAATTAGAAATAAGTAGAAAACGTTTAGTCGTGCTAAAGGACAGAGAAGAAATAATAGTATTATAGATTATTAATTCAAATGAACATTATTAAGAATTTTCATTTTTCATTAACTTCAAATTCAAATAAATACCTATAACTACGTTATTTATTTATATAACCTTTATTAAAGTTTGGTAGAAATTGAACTTCTAATTAAATATATATATATATTTTAGTACGAATTCTCCGAAGAAGAGAGACACTCCTATTCGGGGCAAAATGCCTGGTCCGGTGGGTAGCGCTTTTTTACTTCCTTGTACGAAGTAAAAAGGAAGTATTGTATCGCGAAAAGTTTCAGGCAGTCATATTTCAACGAAAATCCATTTTGACCGCTTTCGAATGCAATTTAATGATGTTTTGCTTGATATCTGTACGTAAGGACAGAATAAAATACTCTTTTCCTTCAAAAAAAAATTATAAAACTGCTTTAAAATTAATTCTGAAGAGAATTTTTCGTAGCGTCTGTACGAACGTATGTACGTATCTCGCATAACTCAAAAACGAGTAGCCTCAGAACGTTGAAAATTTTGTATATAGGACTGCTATAACATGCAGATGTGCACCTCGTATTTTGGTTGCAATCGGCCCCACCAAACGTATATAAAATATATTTATATATATCCACTTGTTACCCGGCTCAGTGATCTCAGTTTCTTTACCCTTATATGTTTGTAAATTGTACATTTTTTGCTTTAAAAATGATTGTATTATGTTGATTTTATTTTCTGGTTAAGGTTTTTATGCCTTTAGTAAATCTGTGTGCAATATTTTTAGAATTATCAACAATTTTAAAGTTGTCTAAGTGCCCCTAAGCCTTTTTTTTCATGGCGGCCATTGATGTTTACGTTTGAAACAGGAGACTACTGGATTTGTAGCCAATCTAGAGAAACTTAGCTTCCCAACAACAAAGATAACGCATTCATTTATTATTGCCAATTAAATCATGCTTAATTCTTTCTGGAATTTTTTCGATGAAATAAGTGAGATTTATTTCGTAATTTTTAATATAGGTATTTTGAGTTTTTTTGTATTTTTGCCTTCTCGCGAAGTGAGAACTGAATTAATTAAATGAGAAATATTCAATCGTCTGTGAAAAACTATTTCTTTTTTTGTTTTGTTTGCTTAATTTCTTTTATATATCATTCTAGCTTTATTATAGTATTTGAATAGAATTTGTATCATTTAAACATGTGGCAACGATTAGATAATTCTATTCTTTAAATGATATAAATTTTGTGCATTATGAGTTATAATATGAACGAAATATACAAGTTAACTCTTATATAATTATTGGATTATATAACAGTTAACTTAGTTTCCGTTATATAATTATTATATAAGTTAACTGTTATATAAATATTAATACTGTTAAGTGAAGCTAGCGCCGGAGTGTCGCTATGGTAAACAAATACTAGAGTGAATTTTAAAGAATGCATTTATTCTATTGTGGTTTATGCGCTGTCGGCGAAGTAGATTTAATTCAATCCAATAAGTTTAAATGAAATGCAAGAAAAAATGCGTATAATTTAATATTCCATACAAGGAAGTCATGTGGTGCACACATCAGATTTTTTTGGGAGGTGCTACTGTAATTTGTTTCAATGCAAATATATCAATCTTCATTTATTTTATTATTGTCACGGATCATATTAAGAACTCTGAATTTCTCATGAGCAATTATATGACTACTACATTTCTTTATAATTTACCGTTAAACATTATTCAGAAACTTAATTGTAGACACAGGACAGTTTAATATACACGGATTATGTCTAAAAAGTCTTAAAAATTAGATTTGTCATATCCTTTGCTTTTATCAAGGTGTCGAGACATTATCAGTATTGCAGCAAATAAATACACTAAGTAGAGAGATACGGCCAAAACAATATTTAAAAATTCTATGCACTGAAAAACTGAAAATGAAATGAAATTTAATGTACTGTATACAAAGTTGCTAGCTGCGACCGAAACAAAATTTACGAGTTCTATGTGTACCTGAAAAGATAGTGCATAAAAACATTTAAATATAAATGAAATCAGTTCATTCCTTCCAAGCAGCAACCAATTCGTAAATGATTTTTTGTTGACAAACCAGGAAAGAAAATCTTTGGACACTTTAAGTTAATACGTATATGTATGACGTCATGATTTAAATTCACTGTAATATAACAACTTTTTCTTAATATCAATGACATAATTAACGTGGAAATAACACTGCCGGTTATTTTAATCTAGAATAAAAAAGTTGCCAATAGCAACTATTTATTTAAAAATGCTGACATGAACGAAACATTTTCGACATTATAGACCTTATAAGAGATAGACTAACCCAGTGGGCGGGGCGCGCGTCACCGACATGTCGGCAAGAAAGAGTAGGGACGATCTGGTTTACTTTAACACTGAAACCTATGGCGTTTGTATCACATAACTCTTTTTAATTATTAAATGTGATACGTTGTATAGTGACGAGTTTTCCAAATAGGATTTAATATATCTCTTTAAAGCATTTTTTAGTGCATTTCGCCCATTTTTTTTTTCACTCGTAATTCTTGTACAAACATCTTTACTTTGGTAAAACGATAAAAACTCTAAGCTCAAAATTTATGAACTTAATTTTGCGTAAAAATAAAGTAAGATTGATAGTACACGATGCTTTGAAATAAATAAGGTAAAATTAAACAAGATCTGATAATTTTTTTTTAATTTAATGAACATTTTCAGGCAGTGATTTTCCAAACTATAATAACATTACAAAACGATCATATTTATTTCATTATATGATCATTGACTTATTAACATTAAAGTAGATTAGTTATTTTAATAATTCATAAAATTCGGAGCATAAAATTTTCTGAGCGTAATGAAAGAAAAAAAAAAAAAAAGATAAAATAAAATCTAGAAGCACTCAGATTTTATATTACGCTTAAAAGGAACCTTTTTTTAAAGTTTTGTGTGTTACCTATATTTATTGAATATCATGTTCTTCGCCCGTAAATCACATACATTTGAAAACAGCATATGTTTAGAATTTCCACACTGGAGATAAAACTGTTATTTTCCGTACAGTGCTCGCTCTGAACTCGTTAAATTTGTTAATAAAAAATTCGTTAAAGTTTTACAAAATATGAAATAGATTAAAACAAATTCGAAATTCGGCCGTCCAGATGCCCATGTTCGGGTGGAGGATTACATTATTCAAAATTTGATGGTCTCTAGATACTGTCGTTTTTGTCACAGTGCGAGAAACATACATGTATTCATGCAGATTCTTCATTATTTAATTTCTTTGCATATAATACAGGGCGATAATATTTGGTAACAACAATTTGCAAGGAGACACGGACATCGCTTCGAAACTAACAGCCTATATAGGCTACCGCCCCTTTAGCCTAATAAATTAAATTAACAGTAAATAAAAAAAATCTTATGCAGAACTAAAAAATAAATTTAAAAAATAATCACTATAAAATACAAACAAAATTAATTATTACGGTTAAATAAAATTTTAATATTAGGATTAAATGTATAAACATTTTTAAGGAGCCAAAAGTGTTTATCACTATAGTGTATTATGAAATATAATTGAAATAAAATTCCTCTATAGAAATTGTGCTATAATATTCATCTATAATTTTTAAAAAGCAGCACAATTTAGAATTTTAAACACAACAAAATTTTCTGAGCGTAATGAAGGAAAAAAAAAAAGATAAAATCTAGAAGCACTCAGATTTTATATTATGCCCAAAAGGAACCTTTTTTTAAAGTTTTGTGTGTTACATATATTTATTGAATATCATCTTCGCCCGTAAACCACATACATTTGAAAACAGCATATCTTTAGCATTTCCGCACTGGA